ATAAAAATGTGTTGTGTGCTGAAATGGATGTAAAGTCAACTTTTTGTGTAAGGGAATTAGATGATAAGGATGCTTTGATGTTGTTTCAAAAGTTGACTGGAATACATAATGAAATGCCTAGCTCTAAACAAGAAATTGTGAAGAAGTATTGTGAAGGATTACCCATGGCAATAGTTGTAGTTGCAAGGGCATTAAGAAACAAGAGTGAGTCAGTGTGGGAAGCAACAATAAAAAGACATAAAAAGCATGAATTGGTGGGTGAGGGGACATCTATGGATATTTCAGTGAAGATGAGTTATGAGCATCTTGAAAATGAAGAAATCAAGTCTATTTTCTTACTTTGTGCTCAAATGGGTCGTCGGGCATTAATCATGGACTTAGTGAAGTATTCTTTTGGTTTAGGTATACTTGAAGGAGTCTCCTCGCTTTGGGAAGCTCGAGAAAAAATTAAGACATCAATCCAAAAGCTAAAAGACTCTGGCTTATTGTTGGACGAAAGTTCTAATAATCATTTCAACATGCATGACATGGTTCGAGACACTGCTTTGTCTATAGCACATAAGTATCACAATACTTTTAATTTGAGAAATGGAAAACTAGATGATTGGCCCGAACTCGAAAAGTGCACTTCCATTTTTATGTGCAATAGTGATATCATTGATGGGCTTGAAGTCATAAATTGTCCTCAACTTAAACTTTTCCAGATCGACACTAATGATCCATATTTGAAAATACCCAAGAGTTTTTTTAGAAGAATGAAAAATCTGAGAGTTCTAATAATGACTGGTTTTTGTGTATCAAACTTACCATCTTCAATTCAATACCTATCAAAACTCAGAATGCTTTGTTTGCAGCGATGTACTTTAGATTGCAACCTTTCTATAATAGGAAAGCTGAAAAAATTGAGAATTCTCAGCTTCTCTGGATCTATACTTAAAAGTTTGCCGATTGAGTTGCAATGCTTGGATAAGTTACGAATGCTAGACATCAGTGATTGTTCTGAATTGAAGATTATTCCACCTAATGTTATATCAAGTCTAACATGTTTGGAAGAGCTATATATAAGAGAAAGCTTGATCAAAATGTTGGTGGAAAGAGAGACAAACAAAGGTCAAGATTTGTTTCTTTCCGAGTTAAAGAATTTACATCAATTGAAAGTGGTGGAGTTAAGCATCCCATGTGTTTCAAATTTCCCCAATCACTTGTTCTTTGACAAGTTAAGAGATTACAATATTGTGATTGGTGACTTTGATTTCTTTTCTCTTGGAGAATTTAAGATGCTCAATAAGCATGAAACATTCAGAGTTTTAGCAGTGCAACTAAAGGATAACACTATCATTCATTCCCACGAAAACATAAAATTGTTGTTTAAAACAGTACAAACTTTGTTGTTGGGAAAGACAAATGGTGTTCGAGAAGTTGTCAATGATTTGAATATAGATGGATTTCAAGATCTGAAACACTTATCCATCATAAATAACAATGACTTCAAATATGTCAATTCAACAAAATTGTGTAATTATGTGAATGTTTTTCCCAATCTGGAATCTCTTCGTCTCTACAATCTGGGGAAGTTAGACATGATATGTTATGGTCCAGTTACAGTTGGGTCATTTGCCAAATTACGAACCATCAAGGTTGAGATGTGTCACCGATTGAAGAATCTCTACTCCCTTGACATGATTATGTTTCCTATTGGTGCGCAAACATGTGATATTTTTGAATGTAATTCTTACATGGATATATTTCTTTCTAGTCTAGAGATAATTGAAGTTTCTGAATGTAAATCTTTAAAGGAGATCCTTCAAATTCCAAAGCATCACGGAAAGGTTGAGTTTCTTAAGTTGCACACTTTGACACTCCGATTATTACCATTGCTTTCATCATTTTATACCAAAGTGGATAAATTTTGCTGGCCGCATCTAACAAAGGCTCAAACTACAATTATGGGTCACAAAGATCTTACGAGTGAGGAAGATAAACAGAGTGATGAGGAACCTCCTCTCTTTGGTGAACTGGTATGAAATTCCATTTTTTTCGATAATTTTAAATAATTAGTTCAATTGTTATAAATATATTAATCATGTATATATGTGTTTGTAGGTTGAAATTCCAAACTTAGAGACCTTGAATTTATCCTCACTCAAGATCCATAAGATATGGAATGACCAAAACTCGTCAAGTTTCATTTTTCAAAACTTGATAAAATTAGTTGTGAAAGATTGTGATAAATTAACACATCTATGTTCATTGTCTATGGCTAGAAGTTTGAAGAAGTTGAAAAGCCTTGTCATAAGCGAGTGTCCAGTTATGGAGAAGATTTTTGAGACTGAAAGAAATAGTGCAGACAAGGTATGTATTGGCATAAATAAGTAAATGTTTGTAGTTGACCAAATATAAGTTTACGACTTTGCTAGTAATAAGGTTGTGAAAGGAATAAATTATGAGATAGAGAAAATGTGGGAATAAGTAGAACGTGAAAGTATGTAGTAGTTGAAAGAAGTACATTTTGTAGTTGTTTTGTATTGTGTGTTTTCATAGATGTTATCTTACATCAAATGGTAGTGTACATGGGTAAATATAGACCATAGATTATTATAGAAAATGTTAGCCACTACTTATGTTGAATGTTCTAGATTTTTACCTATGTAGAATGTTCTTTATTTTTTCCTCCTATCTTAAGTTATTCTACAATATTCTAGAATTTGCATTACATTTCAATAATTCAATCTTAGGTTTTTCTATATTGTTCTAGAATTTTCATTACACTTTAATATTCCTCCTTGATGCAAATTTGGTAACTCCAAGCATAGCGCTAATACTTCAAACCTTTGTCTTAGTAACGCCTTTGTGAAAATATCCGCAATTTAATCTTCTTCCTCCATTGCCTTGACCCATTCTACTTGTTTTACGGTCTCTTCAAAACTTGCAACTCTACTATGGCCAAGTTGCAATATTCATATATGTCTACGAAAGATCTTACATGTCTTGGAGTAAATTCATGTGATGATTCTTCTTGTTCTTGAATTGATGTTGGAGTTGCAAGAGATTCTGGAGCACGTATATTGTTATCTTCTTCCTAGTTCCAAGTAGCACTTTAATCTACTTCATTGTCTCTACTAATAGTTATCTTCTTTGTTTGAAGATCGTAGACACTTTAGCTTTTTTGATTGAGTAATGTATCCCAAGAATATTCCTTGTATAGTCTTGTTTTCAAGCTTGTGCTTCCTTTGATCAAGAACATATATGTAGTAGATATATCCAAATACTCATAGGTGTTTAGCTAAAGGCTTTCTTTCACTACAAGTTTCAATAAGAGTGTTGTCTTGGACTGCTTTTGGACATCTATTTAGAATGTAAACTACAGTGTAGACTCCTTCTACCCAAAAAGTGTTAGGCATATTTTCCTTTTAACATTGATCTTGCCATATCGATGATAGTGCAATTCTTTCTCTTTGAGACAACATCTCGTTGTGGAGAATATGTGTTAGGAAATGGACATTAAACCTAACTCAACCCTATAAAACCAGCTTGTAAGCCACTGACAGCGGCGAGTGTAGTGGTAGAGGCGACATAATTTTTTTTTTCAAAAGAACCTTAGGCTTTTGATATCACGTTAAGAAGTGGACTTTAACTCTAAATTAACCCCAAAAATTTGACATGTAAGGTTAGTTTTGCAACCACTTATATACTATAAATTAGCCTTATTTATAGTCAATGTGGGACTTCCTAGAATATGCTACTATGAGTTATCGCTCTATGCCTTCATCTTTGCAAAAAAATTTCAAACTTATGAGATGTTTACTCCTTTCCACGATCCCTATTAAGTACTTTTAAATGTTTCTCACTTTGCTTCTTGACAAGGGCCTTGAATTTATTGAATATTCCAAACAATTTTGACTTTTCCTTTAAGAAATAGGTCCATATTATTCTAGAGAAGTCATTAATGAAGAGTATGAAATACCGGTTGTTGTGATGTCATTACAAGAAAAACAAGTATTATCGATGACCAAAATTGATGGATTTCTAACGAGCCAAAATCGTTGGTAATAGTACTGTTGGTAATACTTACTGATGGAATTTTATATTCGTCGCTAGATACTGACAGAAAAATCCATCAGTAATTAGGAGAAAAATTCATCGATAATTACCGAAAGAAAATCTGTCGATAAATTCTGTTAGTAAATATCACAATTTGGTTCATCTTCCTTTTCTCTCCTTCTTTCTTTTAACTTTCCTAATCCAGAAATATCAACATATTGCAAATGAAAGAGGTAGCTCATCTTCAATCCAATAGAATTTAGTCATTACAATATCTAATAAAATTTTGAGGAAAACATTATTAGAGTTCAGGCTAATCCAATAATAGGAGGTAACAGTGGAGGCTTCTTCTTCCCAAAAAAAGTGTGTGGTAGTGGAGCAATTGCAACAATGGTGCCCTTGTCATAGTGGTTGATTCATCATAGTGATGCCCTTACGCGATTTAGTTCGTCGTCTGTGGTGGAAGCTAGAGGACTCTTTATCACAGTGAGTTGTCTCTTCTGGTGTCGTGAAAGGTCTTTGTGGTAATTTAAATTTTGCCGATAGGTTTATCTTTGTGGGTAAAATTTCGTTGATAATTCCAAAAATTTTTGTAGTGTGTTAAGGCCCCATTATCGGTCCACAAACATCAGTATCAATCAACTCTAGTAAGTCTTTTGTTTTCCATGTTTTTTCTTGTTGAAAGTGGTAATCGATGTTGTTTGCCAAGGAGACATCCTTTGCATGATTCATTATTCTTCTTCAATCATGGAAGATCTCTCATTATGTTTTTTTCATATAAAAGTTTTAAGACATGTATGTTGAAATGGCCAAATCTCCTATGTCAAAGTCATAAGTCATCAACTTCTACCTTCATGGTAATATTAATTCCATTTTTAAAGCTTATAGGAAAACTTTTATTTCTCTTCACCATTTTTATTTGGCCAATTTTTAACCTTCTACTATATAAATTTTGCATGTATATATCTTTCTCAAAGTGAAGAGAATATTCATTTTCCTTCATTTGCCCCGAGATTCAACTGTGGTGTTGTTTCCCAATCAAACTTTGACATTGACAAATTTATCAATGTCTTTGATAATGCTTTGATCTTTGGTCATGTGATTGATGCGTCCACTATCCAAGTACCAATTTCCTTCTCCGCTAGAAGATTCTTGATTGGCATGGAATAAGTGTTTCTCGTTATTATGTTATTCGGCAAAGTTTGTTTGATGCTTATTTTTATTACGACAATACTTTTCAACGTGACCAAATATCTTATAGTATGAACATTGAGGTTTTCCATGATGCCAACAATAATATTTTTTCCGAATGACTTATCTTCTTACATATGTCACATGAAAGATATTTTCCTTAACAAGTTATAGAGAAACTTCTAGAATTTTTTTTATTTATAGAAATTTCTCCTATACTTTTATTTCCTTCACACTTTTTATTATGAGATCATAATTTTAGTTTCTATTGATAGATATTTTCGACAAAGTCCTCTTCACACCTTTTCAATATTTGTTCATAAGCTTTAAGAGAACCCATTAGTTGTCTTAGTGATAATATGACTAAATCCCTTTCTTGTTCAATCGTGGTTGCAATTGCATCATGTTTTTGGGAAATAGGAATGAAAATTTTCTCAACGATTTTTTGTTAAGAATATTTTTCCCATAAGCTTTCACATGAATAATTATTTCTTTTATCAGAGAATAGTAGTATTTAATGATCTTAAATTCTTTCATTCTTATTTATTCAAACTACCGTCCTGGAGAATAAATTTTAACATTGTGTATGTCATCATTTCCATGAAACTCCTCTTGTATTATGTTCAAGCTTGCTTTGCACTTGTGAATCCTATTATTCTTGGAAAAATTGTGTCATCAACTATTTGTTAAAGAGAAAATAAAGCCCTTGAATCCTTTTGCTTGTTTTCCTTAAACTCGTTCTTCTCAGTTGTAAAGAGAGTAAAGGTGTCTTCTGGAATAGTGAGTCCATCTTTTATAATGTCCCGTAAATCTTGGGAGCAAAAGAATGTCTTCATTTTGACGCTCCAAAAATCATAATTTTCTCTCACAAAAATAGGTACTATAATTGATGATGTTTTATTGGTAGTTGTCATTGGTCGATAAAATATTTTGGAAATAGTATAGAATGAAGTTATAATTTTTTTTAAGTAGTTGGAATTTTTTTACCACCATTACCATTTTGAAGTTGTGAAAGGTATACTTGATGGGATAGAAAAAAATGTGTGGATAGTAGAATGTGAAAGTAGTAGTTGGAAGAAGTATATTTTGTAGTTGTGTTGTATTGTGGTTGCCATAGATGTTGTTTTACATCAAATGATAGTGTACATTTGTATTTATAGACCTATAGATTACTTTAGAAAATGCTAACCACAACTTATGTAGAATGTTCTAGATTTTTGTAAAATGTTTTTTATTTTTTTCCTCTTATCTTAGACTTTTCTGCAATATTCTATAATTTTCATTATATTTCAATAATTTTATCTTAGGCTTTTTATATTGTTCTAGAATTTACATTATACTTTAATAGGTTCTCGATCAGACTTTACGTTGTGCATTTTTGCTTATCTACTATATATAATATAATAGTTTGTTTTCAAATACAGGTTTGCATCTTCCCTAAGTTAGAGGAAATCCACCTTACCAAAATGAATAAGCTAACAGATATATGGCAAACTAAAGTGAGTGCTGATTCCTTTTCTAGTCTCATTTCTGTGAAAATTGAGGAGTGCAATAAATTAGACAAGATTTTTCCAAGTCACATGGAAGGGTGGTTTGAAAGTTTGGACAACTTAAAAGTTTATTGGTGCGAGTCGGTTGAAGTGATTTTTGAAATCAATGATTCTCAAGAAATAGATGAATTTGGAGGGATAGACACAAAGTTGCAAATAATTCTTCTTGAAGAACTACCAAAGTTAAAACAATTGTGGAGTACAGATCCAAATGGAATTCTTAACTTTAAAAAATTGCGGACCATAGATGTAGATAGTTGTGATGAACTTAAGAATTTGTTTCCAGTTTCTGTTGCCAAAGATGTTCCAAAGCTTGAACACATGTCAGTATTGTATTGTGATAAAATGGAGGAAATTGTTGCAAGTCAAGATGCATTGGAAACTAACAAAGATCTATTGGTGTTTCCTGAATTAACCTCGGTGAGATTACATTGTCTACCAGACATGAAGTATTTCTACAAGAAGAAATATCCTATAAAGTGTCCAAAGCTGAAGGAGTTGAGTGTGACAAAATGTTTGAAGCTTAAAACATTTGTCAAAGATACCATTAATACAACAAACAAAGTGGGAAATTTTGTTTTCTCAATTGACGAGGTAAGCAATATTCTATCTTTGTCGGAGTTCGAGAAAAAACAT